AGCAAAATCTCGGTACTGAAACTTGCTTGGCTGCCGAGTTGAAATACCCGGACAGACGAACACACACACACAGACAGGGTCGTCCCAATATGCGTTTTTGCAATTTGCATATAGGCAAAAACGCACGCATATACACACACAGACAGGGTCGTCCCAATATGCGTTTTTGCAATTTGCATATAGGCAAAAACGCATAGCATACACACACAGACAGGGTCGTCCCAATATGCGTTTTTGCAATTTGCATATGGGCAAAAACGCATTCCAAGTAAAAGAGATTTTGTGCCGATTTGCACGCCCAACAATACTTAACTATGGAAACAGGAAAACGCGTATTGTGACGACCCATGGTGTGGGGGCCATGGAATGAGGTATGTTTGTGTGTGTATATGCGCGTATGTGTGCAGGTGTGTGTGTCTGTGTGTATATGTGTATCCCTCCTGGTATTTCAACTCTGCAACCAAACGAGCTTCAGCGCTGAAATTTTGTCAGTAGGTTTCGGGGCCATGTGACACTCCAGATCGCGGTTCCAACCTCTACTCACTTCTGGGCCCTGCGTACGAGCACGTGAAGTTCTGGGAGGAAAATCGTTAACTCGGGAATCAGAAAAGCTAGAAAGCTGAAATTTTAAGGGGCTGTTTTTCGTCCACGTTTAGCTTAAAAATTTCAAATTTAGCCCCGGGTATGCGTGTTTTCCAAATACGGGTGCCTAAAAGTTTAGACAGGAAAACTGTTCACAGAACAGGTAAGTCATTTTCAAAGAGCAGAATCAAACGAGGGAATGTGTTTTGAATAGTGGCTGGGCAGGCAGTGTGCAACACAGCATTAGTATCGCCCCTTTCTTGGTTGGAGTCAGGCACAGAATCAAGCTCAGTTGTGGCTGCACTTAATTACCCCATAAAAAGACAAAAGTTATAACAAACAATTATTGTAATTTGCCATTTCAGCGACCGTCTTGAAACAACTACTTCCTCCTTTTTGCCAGAACTCCAACATGTCCAGTTTAGCCTAGACACCTTCATCTGTGCCTCGCAATCCTTTAAACACTGATGAGTTGAGATGCAATGCCAGTAGTTGTTTTGAAGCAGGCCAAAGGGGCAGTGGGGCGAAAAACGATTTTACTAGTTTTCAAAAGTAGGAAGATCGTCCGCTGATGGAAAACAAAATAAAGGTTTCGGTTTGAATTAAAAATAAGGATTCAGGAGAAGGAGAGAAGGTAAAATAGAATTGCGTCTTCGAGTATGTGATTTTATGACAGAGGGACTGAGCAGCATCAAATGAAACACTGGACACTGTACCTATTCGTGTTGTA